CGTGCGTGCCCTCTTGCCTCGATCCTGAGCACTCAGAGACATGTCAGAATGCGATACTGGCGCTTCGCTCTTGCGCTTGTTCGACGAGTTGCGATCCGCCGTGGACGGCGTCGGGTTCGTGGCCGTTCTTGACATTGGGCTCGTCGCTCTGACACTCGAGCCTGCGCCTCCACTTCCACCCGCAACAGGGCTGGTAGATCTGCTGTTGGCTCTCGAATGTTTGGTCTGCCTGTTCGCGCTCGCAGAAGGGCTGGTAGCTCGTTGAGCCACACTAGCATGTCCAGCTCCAGGTTTATGCTTCTGTCCCATCACGATCGAGCCTGCGCCAGCCGATTTCTGCTTCTCCATCCTTCCACTCGGCGTCGCGTTGCCGCTCTTTGTGCCCGGAGGCGGCGTTTCTCTGCCAGGTGTGGAGACCGATGTCGAGCCGTTATTGCCGATGCCTCCCATAGCTTTCAACCTCTCCTTTTCCTCCTTTTCGCGCTTCTCTCTCTCTTCGCGCACTTCCTGCAGCGCCTTCTCGGGATTGGCGACTGCGAGATCAGACTCGTCCGACTCCTGTATCATCGACGTGACGCAACGTTGTCAGCGTCTCATCGCACAAGGTGCAGATCACGACAAACTCACATCGCTGAGGTAAGGATTGTCTTCCTCCTCATACGCTTCATTGCCCATGTTTCTTGCCAGCGCCTTGACGATTCGATTCATCTGATTGTCGCTTCCCGTCAACATGTCGTCCCTTCTACTTCCTGGCCTCTTGGTAGACCCTCCAAACAAATCATCTTGCGGTGCAAAATCATCATCCTCGTCCTCGTCGGAGGCTTCAGCTTTAGCCATCTCTCTCTTCATTCTCTCCTCTAGCTCGTGCGTCTCTTCATCGCCCAAATCGTATCCTTCCATCTCGTTGCGATCATCATCGTCCGCCATCTCTTCCTGAAAGTCCAGCTCGTCGTATCTGCCCTCGTTTGACTGATTGAAGAGCGAGGACATTGAAATGTCAGCTCCGCGCTAACCCTCTCGTTCGACAATGAGGACCACTCCCGCCGCCCACACTCACTTCGCGCCGTCTCCTGCCGCCCACCCGCTGCCTGCTGGCCTGATCACGAGGTTTCTTTTCCGAGCTGCTAGCGATAGCCGCGCTCAGTGTGCTCCCATTCGGCAAGAGCAAGTGCTTCCACTCGGGCACGCTATCGAGATCGTCTTCATCCCCACCAGGATCTTCCTTTTTCACTCCACCAGTACGTAAAGAAGAGCTGGAAGACTGATTGCGACGAGAGGAGCGCCCAGCTCCAAGGGAGATGGCTTCTTGTGCTCGCAACATCCAACGCGACGCGCCATTGTCTCGCGATTTTTGGTAGCGTTCGTACTATCATGCATGAGTTTATACGAAAATGGTCAGGACACTTCGACCACATTGGGCGTACCGCGGCGTGCTCATACGGGAGACCAATGACTCACCTCTCTCTCAATCTCTTCCGCCGAAAGAGAATTCGTGCTCTTCTGCAAGAATCTGTAGGTCTTGCTCAATGGAATGCATCTAAAGCCGCCTTCGCCAGCGCTATCGAACACAAACAGCACATGGTTGTTGGCGTCTCCGTTATCCCCTTCCAACTTGCCGAGCCAAGGAGAATGATTTGTCGTCTTGTTGTCGATCGAGCCTTTGACATCCGTCTTGATTGCTGGTTCCAACATTTCGGTGGGTTCCCTTTTAACTTGCCCCCCAGAATCGGCGCTGATATTGATAGTGCTCATACCATCCCCGGTGGGAGCCTCGGTGAGCGGCTCTTGCACAAATCGAATGTTGCTCGTTTCTCCTCTTTCAAACTTTTCCACCTCTTCTCGAAGAGCGGCCAGGCCGCTGGGGTTGAGCGTCCTACTACTCTCCCACTCCTTTGACGTCTCTTGATCTTCCAAGATCCAAGGTAACCTCTCATCATTCCACGTTTTGCGCGACGAAGTTGCTGCCTTGTGAACTTCCCTGACCCGCTTCTTGAAGAGCTGGGTTTTGTTGCGTTGGGCTGCGTTGCTCGAGGTGGGAGCTATCTGGGAGACATCTACTTGACTCGTTCTAGCGTGGGGAGGGGGAGCGAGCAGACGTGCATCAGTATAGTGTGTGAGCAACCAAGGAGACGCGGACCTTCGATATGCCGCATACAAGCACGAATCGATTGACTGACTTTTCCTCCTTGCCCTTGTCTAGCCAAGCCTTGACCTGATCCAATTCTTGCCGATTCCTGGGCCACCTCAACGGGGATTTGCCATCATCTCCCAAACCGAGAATTGATCTACCATATTTGTCCGGTATCACATCCCCTGGATCAGGTCTTGGAGCTTTCAGCTTTGGTAGAAGTTTTCTATTCAATCGAAGAGGTTGAGAGAATCTTTCCGCTGAGCTGAGATCGAGAGAGGCGTTGGAGACCAGTTTGAGGAGGTGCGTCTTCACCTTTGCTTCTCCCTTCTGATCGGTAGAAGTATCAAAGAGGGAACTGGCATTGGACAAGGAGAGCAGAGGAATATCTCGGTACTCTGTCGGTGGGGGAGGAGACTTGGGCCGCTGAGCTGTATTGGAGAGAGATGAGGAAGACGCTTTCACCTTGGAGGTGGTGGATGCAGCAGGTGGCTTGGCATCCACATCCATGGGCGCTGCGCTGCCTCTCGCACTCGCTTGCTTGGACGCGTGCTCGCTTTTGGGCGCCATCTCGAGCGACGGAGATCTTGGACTGCTCGGCAGCAGTGGCCCCCCACCCCGGCGGGCTTCCCTGAGGTGTGAGGAGAGCCTATCGAGAGACTGGTGGCTTGTCCTGTACGGCTGTATGCCGAGGCCTTGCCCTGGAGTGTGTGCTCAGCCGGTCAGATACAGCTAGGATGAGGACGGGAATGTGGTGGATGGTGAATTGATGGCGCGTGCTTAGGAGCATCCAGTCTCGTGGCACTCGAGTTGCGCAGAGGTCATCCTGAGTCTGGAGATGT